TAGTGTGACCATGCAACAGTAAGAATGAAGTACGACCTTGATCATGCGAAGTTGGATAGTTCAAACTGCAAGTGTTTCATGGTGATTAAGGGCTCCATTGAGGATCCAATAAGGGGATCAATCCTAGAATATACCACCACCACTGAATATCTCAAGAAGGTGGAGAGTCAGTTTACTAGATCTTCAAAGGCTTATGCGAGCACTCTTATTAGGAAGTTAGTCAATGAGAAATACACTGGTGGAGGGATTTGAGAGCACATATTGAAGATGAGCAACACGGCATCCAAGCTCAAACCAATGGACATGGGGCTCAAGGATGAGTTCCTAGTTCATTTGATTTTTGCATCTTTGCCCAAAGAGTATGAGACCATTGTTGTTAATTACAACTTACAGCAAGATAAGTGGAACATTGAGAAGCTCATTGCCATGTGCACAAGAAGAGCAGAGGCTTAAGAGATCACATGGTGACTCCATCAACCATGTGAAGGAAAATAAAAGAAAAAACTTTAAGAATGCTAAACCATAAGGGAAACCTCAGTGGGATAGTAGCTCCCCTTCTAAGTCACAAGGAAAGGCCCCATAGACTGATCATCATCAGAAATTCAACAATGTTCAAGTAGACAAGGATACCTGCAAATGGTGCAAGAAGAAGGGACACTACCAGAAGGATTGCCCAGAGTTCCTGAAGCACCTGATGAGCAAAATAAGGACATTATTACATTTATAGATGAGTCATTGTATTTAAGTTATGCAAAATCTACTTGGTGGATTGATTCAGGTGCAACTATTCATGTTGTAAATTCATTACAGGGATTCCATACGAGGAGGACCCTGTAAAGAGGAGAAAGATACATTAAGGTAGCAAATGGAGTCAAAGCTGAAGTTGAAGCCATTGGAGAACTCCCATTAGAATTAAATGATGGTTGTGTACTTAAGCTTACAAATGTCCTTTATGTACCCTCTTTGCGTAGAAACTTAATAAGTGTTTCATGTTTAGACGATGATGGATTTGATTGTCATTTTGGTAATGGCCAATGTAAGATTATGTTTAATCATAAGTGTGTTGGTCTTGCCTCCTGACAAGACAAGCTTTATTTATTATCACTTTGTGAGAATATCAATGTTGTGAGCACTAAAAATGAGAATGCCTCGTCGTTTATGAATGTAAGTAATAAGCGGAAGAGAATTTATGATGTATCATCAAAATTATGGCACTGTCGTTTAGGCCATATTTCGAGGGAGAGAATAGAATGATTGATTAAGAAATCAATTCTTCCGCCATTAGAATTTTTAGATTTAGAACAATGCATTGATTGCATTAAAGGAAAGTATGTTAAGAAAATAAAGAAAGACGCCAAACGAAGCGCAGGAATTTTAGAAATAATTCATACAGATATTTGTGGTCCTTTTCTTGTGAAAAGTGTGGATGGTTATGATTCTTGTTATGGCTATATTTATCCAATTAAGGAAAGATTAAAAGCATTGTATAAATTTAAGATATTCAAGGCTGAAGTAGAAAATCAACATAATTTAAAGATTAAGATAGTAAGACCCGACCGTGGGGGGGGGGAGTACTACAGTCCACATACCCCATATGGCTAAGTTGCTGGACCTTTCACAAAGTTCTTACTGGAAAATTTCATAGTCGCCTAGTACTCTACATCGGATGAGCCTCAGCAGGATGGAGTAGCTCAAAGACATAACCGTACATTAATGGATATGGTGAGAAGTATGATAAGTTACTCCACTTTACCGATAAGTTTGTGGATGGAGACGTTAAAACCGCCATTTACATTCTCAATCGAGTACCAAGCAAGTCGGTGCCCAAAACACCATATGAGTTGTGGACAAAAAGGGAACCCTCACTTAACCATTTACGTGTGTGGGGCTGTCTAGCTGAGGCTAAAGTATTTAACCCAAATATTGGAAAGCTAGACTCCAAGACAGTCAGTTGCCATTTCATTGGCTATACAAATAAGTCAAAAGGTTATCGTTTCTATTAACCTAACAGACATACGAAGTTTGTAGAAACAAGACACACAATGTTCTTAGAGGATGAGATGGTTAGGGGAAGCATGGTAGCGCGAGAAATTAACTTTGAGGAGAAGCGGGTATACGTGCCCACTCCGATGGTTCATGAGCCATTTTTCTCGCTACCTGTTGTTGCTGCACCAACTGTGCAGGACACTATAGTGACAACACCTGTTGTTAGTTCTCCCATGACAACAATAAATGAACATGAGGAACCAGCCCTTCAGGATCCTATAGAGCCCGTTGTCGCACATGAGGAAGAGCAACAATAGCCCCATATGGAACAAGCGCCAACTAATAATGCCCCCAGAAGGTCTCAAAGAGCTAGAAAGTCAGCCATTCCTGATGACTACGAAGTCTATGTTAGTGAACAATTTCAAATGGAGGGTAATCCCACCTCTTTTGAAGAAGCCATGAGATGCGCTCACTCATCGAAGTGGCTTGAAGCCATGCAAGATGAAATGAGATCAATGAGTACCAACGATGTTTTGGACTTAGAAAAAATTCCTAAAGGAGCCAAGACAGTAGACTATAAATAGGTCTATAAAACTAAATATGACTCCAAATGGAATGTGAAAATGTTTAAAGCACGACTTTGTGGCAAAAGGCTTCACGCAAAGAGAAGGAATAGATTATAATGAGACATTTTCTCTAATCTCATGCAAGGATTCTTTTCGAATCATAATGGCATTAGTGGCACATTACGATTTAGAATTACATCAGATGTATGTAAAGACGGCTTTCCTTAACGGGGATTTGGATGAAAATGTTTATATGGCACAACCAAAAGGTTTTGTCGTGAAAGAAAAAGAACATATGGGATGCCGCCTGAAGAAATCCATTTCCGGATTAAAACAAGCCTCTAGACAGTGGTATTTAAAGTTTGATGAAACAATAAGGAAGTTTGTATTTAAAGAGAATGTAGAGGACAATTGCATTTATACAAAGTTCAAGAATGGAAAATTCATTTTCCGAATCTTGTATGTGGATGACATCTTACTCGGTAATAGTGATGTTAATCTACTACTGGAGATGAAGAAGTTCTTGCCCTCAAATTTTGATATGAAAGATCTCGGTGAAGCTTCATTCGTTTTAGGAATAGACATTCACCGAGATAGGAAAAAGGGGGTTTTAGGATTATCACAAAAGGCATACTTAGAAAAGGTTCTAAAGAAATACAGTATGCATGCGTGTAAGCCTTCACCTGCTCTCATAGTCAAGGGCGATAGTTTTGGGGAATTCCAATGTCCCAGAAACCAATATGAGATCGCTAGAATGAAAGCGGTTCTGTATGCTTTAGCTGTCAGAAGCTTACAATATGCTCAAGTATGTACACGCCCTGACTTAGCTTTTGTTACCGGGATACTTGGTAGATATCAGAGTAATCCAGGAATAGAACATTGGAGAATGGTAAAGAAAGCTTTGCGTTATTTGCAAGGCACAAACGGCCTCATGCTAACATACAGAAGATCTGATTCCCTACATATAGAGGGGTATTCAGATTCAGATTTTGCGGGAGATGTAAATGATAGAAAGTTCACATCAGGCTATGTATTTACTCTCGCAGGAAGAGCTATATCGTGGAAAAGCTCCGAGCAAACCGTCACTGCATCGTCCACGATGTATGCCGAGTTTGTAACATGTTATGAGGCCACGGGGCAGGTGAACTAGCATTCATAGACCACTCAAGTTGTACTGCGACAATGAGTCAGCAGTATGTTATGCTCATAACAATAAGTCAAGTGGTGCTACCAAACACATTGACATAAAGTTTTATGTTGTGAAAGACAAAGTCCAGAATCATTCTATTAGTCTCGAGCATGTAAGTACAAAGAAAATATTTGCGGATCCGCTTACAAAAGGCTTACCGCCCAATGTGTTCAGAGAACACTTAGCCAGCATGGGTTTACGGGAAAGCCTATGATCCTTGGACAATAAGGGTCTAGTTGAGAATCTGTTTCAAAACACAGGTGTATTGTAGCTGCCAATCTAATGGTACTAACTGTTATGACGAGACATGCTCTATACATTAATCTGTCATGGAATGGGCTGAGATAAGTATTTTAAATTTAAGTCATAAGTTGAGATTAAGGGGAAGAATGTTAGGTTGATCTCCTCTGATTCGGTCCAACGAATGAGTCGGGTCTTAATCCCGCGTCCTGATCGGGGGTGCCCAGCCACACACATGGCTGGTGGGTCCTCATCGCGTAGCGCTATAAAGAGGAGGTGGGGGCCGGGGGCTCTAGACACGAGGTTCGCCGCCGTCCAAAGAACCCCACCTATAACCCTAATCTGATCTAGAGGGGAGCGCTGACAGCGACGGGAAACGTCACTTCCTAGAACTTTGCATAACTGCACCTAGCAAGGCATGCACAACATATAATTTAACAGGAAAATCTTTTTTTTTCACGACCTCGCCAAATAGCACGTATTTCATTAAGAGGGTACCATCACAAACACAATGCAAACCCCGGATTGCCGCACACCAGGACAAAATAGAAAAGAAAATAAAAGCGGCAGGAAGCACTAAGCTAGATTACAGAGGATTAACGAGCTACCAGCGCACAAGAAGCGCAGACAAACAGACGGCTGAAACCTGCTTCTACCCGAACATCTGCGTCCAGCTTAATTAACGGCAGCAACCAAGCCGGCATGGTTGCGACCTTGTCAAAGACGGGCTGTTCCTATCCTTCCATAATAGCCATGAGACGAGTAGGAACAACGAATCAAAAGCCTTCCTGAAATCCTTAGGGAAAAAAGAGAAAAGTACTATGTCACACAGCTCAGAGCAAGTCAACAGATAAATAGCAAGTCTATGCTATTATTTAGACATCCCAATTATGAGCGAAAAATCAGGTATACAAACCCACACCATGTTTCGATTCAGTAGTCTCTTACAGGCTCTAATGCACACAATAGCTAAGCAGGAAATGCTTGACATACTAGAGCCAACGATACTGATCTTTTATTTATAGCACATAGCGTATGGCAGTACTGTTGGCACAAGTGTAACAAATGTACTTGTGCTGGAACAACTTGAACCCTTGTAGGTCATCATTATTATCCTTGCCTCTGAACTCAAGCTCCACGCCACTCAGGATAACAACCTCAACCTGAACTGTATCCCGCTCAGAAAACAAGCCTGTTTCCTCTGTGTTGCTCACACCTCTGAAGACCTTAGCAACGGCAAACTTGCCTGAGCCCAGGCTGAGGAGCTTAACATTTACTGCCATCCACTCCTTGGGCGTGTGATAAGGCCAGGCAACCAGCGACATTGGTTTGTGATGATCCATGAGCATGTCAGAGAGGCCAGACGCTGCACAAAGGTAACCAGGGCGCCAGAGAGGCCAGACGCTGCACAAAAATGAACTACTCACCAACTTTCTCTGCTTTTATCCTTTGCTTCCTTCTCATATTTCTGGATGGTCCTATCATCAACTTGACCACTCAAAAACAATAGCTGCGGCTCGCAAGAAGGGTTCTGGTTTTTTGTTCCGTGATCGTTCTCGATTTTGGTTCTTGGTCTCTGTAAGATATGGTTTTGTCAAGTAACTCGTAAATGGTTTTGTCAAGTAACAAGGGATAGTGATAGGTTTTGCACAAGAGAAAGGACAAGTTCGATCGTACTTGGTAGCAGTGACAGGTGCAGAGGTGCTGGTTACTTATGCCCTGACATCCCCCCAACTTCGTTTTGGGTACTCTCAGTTGCTGCTCATCGCATCCCATTTCGTTGGCTCTTTGCTCATTCTGTGTTGTTCTTGCAATCAGTGCGGACGCGGACCTCCTACTGCCCGGCAAGAGCAGGTTCTGTCCCACAGTCGCCTGCAGTCCTGCACTGGAGGGGGGAGGATTTGGCCATCTGAGTTGACCTGCCGTGCGTGGCCAGACTTGACCTCACACAACGCAATCAGTTCACCAACTAACGTCGCACTTGGGCCGTAATCGCGTCATTCAGCCACCGGCCATATATTTTGATTTTTGAAGTATACTGGTTTAACCAGTCTGGTTAGGATATTTTCCTCAAGTTTGCGCAAACCGTGGTGGTATCCCAGTCTACTTTGCTGACCGAAAACACGCGTACCGGTGTGGCGGACAGGCTGTGCTCGTTTAGGCTTACACTTTAGACGCCAATCTTTACAGGCAGCCAGCAAATGGCATCCCTGTCATAAATCATTTTTACATAAACAATGGAGCAAACTCGAAGACAAAGCTCATTTATCCTGAACACACATACGAATGTGGCAATTCCTGCCAACTCCGGGAGAAATATGTGCAGGGTACATTAGCAATTTATGGTTTACATTCAGCCGAAACGAGCTAGTCTTACAATACATACATGCATACAGGGGTATGCAAGGCCCCATGCAACACCTACGGGTATCCTGCCCTATATGGTATACACGATAAACATTACCACTGGAGTCTGAGGGAAAAAGGAAACCGGCTCTATGGTATGGGAAGGTAACAGGTAACAGCTACACTAACACCTCACGGCACACGCCACATCTTTCTTAAAAAATGGGTATAGACATTCGGAAGGATAGGTTCGATCGGTTATCTATGTCCACTCACTGGAATGATCAGGCAATCCACACGATCCACTCTCTAACTTGGATTGTCTCGGCTCAACAAACCAGCCGCACCAGATTTCGGTGACTGCTCATCATCCCGATCAGGTTGGATGTTCAGGTCAATATGGTTCTTGACCGGAGAGGATGTCACCTTGTGATCCACGGCCATGTCTTCGGGTCCATCGGCAATTCCATCCGCTTTCCGAGGGGAGCTGGTTGCCTGGTTAGCAGTCATGTGCCTGGTTAGCAGTCATTGCGCGCTCTAATGCTGCAGCCACCGTCTCTAGAGACGATGGATTTCTGGAACCTTAGCCCTTATGTTGTAGTGGATCTGTGGTGCTTTCATCAATATTTGCAGCCTGATCTTGCATTTTGTTTTTCTTTTCTTTTTCTCCCAGAACGGTACACAGTTGTCAGTTGTGTTACTGTGTATGATCAAGGAATTGAGGATTGAATTCTGCTTTACTTTTCTTTGGTTAAAAAACTATGAGTAATTGCCAATGTACATTTATAAGTTAAGTTAGCCTTTTTGTTGATTGTCATTTGTTCCCCACTGCCTTCTTTTGTTAAACTTAGGGTTTGTCAGCCTTAGGATTTGTCTACTCCATTCCCAATTTTAGTTACGGTTAACTTATTACTGGATCTACATTTCGACATGTACTAGAGCTACGGTCATTATTTTGACATATAATTTCTAGGTAGAATTGGTGTAACTAAAATTCAGGTATAATTTAGAATTGGTGTAACTAAAATCCGGATGTGGAGAAGGAATACTTCACTTGATTCTTGCAACACTTTTAATCTGGATGCGATACTCCTTTAAAGCACCAAAAAAAATTCTTATAACATACTCGCAATCACAAGGTTCGGGTGTAAGAGATAAGTTTTTCACCAGACCATGATATGGCAAAACTATAGAGCATTATTATACTTTCTGCTTTCCAGATTTAAATATTTGATTTATGTTCAACTAAAAATGACAAGATATTGCTTACAACTATGTCTTTTGAATTCAAATGTTTACAAACCGAGTAAATAACTAAGAAAGCTTGCCTTCTCATTAGTACAAAAGTTCGAAATATGTTCTTCAGTGCAACAAATTGTTCAAGTAATTTTCCTACTAAACTTCCATTAATTGTTTGTCATGTTTTACTTTGGATTTGATATAGTACTACAACATTGAATTACACGCCAGATTGAGAGACGATGATAGATCAATCATGGGGTGTTCCTCGCGTTGGTTATTGGGCACGAATATACTGTAGTTCCCTTCCAAAGAGGGGTTGACTTGGCTCTGGGTTGATCCGCAGGACGCGCTCGGGTTGAGGGTTTATCGGATTGGGGGATTTGATTGGCCCCACATCCCCGACTCCAAGACGTTGGATTGAGTGGCCCCTCGATCGAATCAGATTCTGATGGCCTCCTTCCTGAATCGAATTGAATCGAGCTCGGCTGTTGTAAATTTTATTGCAAATTTTAACTTTAAACATAAGCCTCATCTCTTGCTGCTACTACGTCATTTGCTCTAAAGCAACCCTGGGCTGCAGTTTCTTGGATGGGTAATGACTGTTAATCACGTTTCTAAACATGAGTACTAGTAGTGAAATACCTAGTCAGTGACGATCGAGATATATTTCTGGTCTTCTGGTGTCTGTTTTTGTGCTCTTGTCAATTGTAGCATTTACGCATTCTCCATGATTGTTGCTTCTGGACTGATGTTTCTGGACTGCTGTAGGGAGGTGCTAGCTTGCTCCTGATGTTGGACTGCTATCTTGCTGTAGCATTAGCTATTAATAGAAAAAAGAGCATGCTGCACTCTTATGGAAAACTATTGAAAAACCTTGGAAAGGTAGGGTAGCCAGCCAATGCAAGTAGATATGGAGCTACACCTCTGCTCCTTTTGAGTGAATTCACATTGCAAGCTTATTTTGATTTGCTCTTTTTTGCGAACACGCGCTAGGGAAAGGAATGTCCCTTTCTTTCAGTCTATAGTGAAGACTGAAGTTGACATACCTAGCCTATTAGCTCACTTTGTTACTTGTATTATTATCTAGATGATGTCTTGATTTGCCAAATGGTTTCTTATTACTTGTAGATCTCTCCATCACCATTTAGAGTTGGGGAAGGTGAACCTCCGCTTTCTTAGGATCCGGTACCAACTCCAAAAGATACTCCAAAAGCTTCTATATAAGTTTATATATGCTTCTATAAGACGACTATAATCTTTATTACAGCTTCTATATGACATGATCAATAAAATAGCTTCTATATGACATGGTTAATAATATTTAACTTCTATATGACTAAAATTGTATGCTTCAGTCCTACAATGCGTCTCTCACTACGAGATTGTATTAGAAAGAGGAGGGAGGAAGAAGACGATGACATGATGCTATTTATTTTCCCCACCTTATATCTTATGAGTTCTGCTAGAGGAGGGGAAAAGAAGAAACGTCATACTTCGGAAGAAACAGGCGAGGTTAAAGTTCGTACACTCCTTGAGGGACATGTCAAGAACTGTCAAGTTGCATTTAGGATGGAACCACACATCTTTAGAGAATTGGCAAATTATCTTAGAAGCAAAAGGCTTGTTGATACTAGGATAACTGTGGAGGAGAAGTTGGGTTTCTTCCTATACATGTTAAGTCACAATGCCTCGTATGAGGATCTCCAAGTGTTCTTTGGGCACAGCAATGACACCTTCCATCATCACATCAACCACTTCTTCAAGGTGGTCATTCCCGCACTCTCTCGCCATTACCTTCAAGCTCCTGATCCTAATCAAGTGCATAAAAAATCCAAGACAATCCTAGATTCTATCCATTTTTCAAGAATTGTCTAGGTGCCATTGATGGAACTCATATTCCTATTTCCATAGCCTCTGAGAAAGCTTCTCCTTTTAGAAATAGGAAGGGCACACTAAGCATTAATGTGATGGTGACATGTGATTTCAATCTCAACTTCACTTTCATTTCTAGTGGATGGGAGGGATCGGCTACAAATTCTAGAGTGCTACGGTCAGCTATGAGCAAGGGCTTCCAAGTACCTCCAGGCAAATTCTATCTGGTTGATGGAGGGTATGCAAATACTCCATCTTTTCTTGCTCCATATCGAGGAGTTCGATACCATTTGAAAGAATTTGGGGCTGGACATCGAAGGCCGCAGAACCCAAAGGAGCTCTTTAACCACCGCCACGCACTACTGAGGAACCATGTGGAAAGGGCTTTGGGGGTGCTTAAGAAGCGCTTCCCCATTCTGAAAGTTGCCACATTCCACATGTTGGAAAATCAAGTGAAGATACCTATAGCTGCTTCCATCTTCCATAATCTGATCCGATTACTTCATGGAGATGAGAAATGGTTAGATCATCAGCCGGATAATATCTCTCCAAGAAACTTTGTTGCTGTACCAAGTGGTGATCAAATGAATGACCAAAATGTGGGTTCAGTACAAGGCAACGCTTTAAGAGACACCATCGCCCAAGAAATGTGGGTTCAGTACCAGCAACATTTAAATTAGTCTTTGAATATGCTATAATAAGTTAATAAGCTTGTAATAAGCATGGATTATAATTAAGCAGAGACTTCTTTTTAGTCTTTAAATTAGTCTTTGAATAGATTGTAATAAGCTTTTGTCATGAATAAGCTTGTAATAAACTTGGCTTGTAATAATTGAATAAGCTTGTAATAAGTGAATAGGCTTGTGTCATATACTCATATTTGACAGCGATGGTTGGAAAAGGCTCCCCGAAGCTCAATATGATTGCAAGGGCGTCACCAAAGTTGCACCGGTTCTTGGGTACAACAAGTGGTATTAAAAAGAGGGCTTCTCCTAAATGCAGTAAGGCAAAGAAGACTAGAGGTTCTCCGAGAGGTATGGTGTTTAATTCTCTGCTATTATTGCTGTTATTTCTCTGCTATTATTGCTGTTATTTCTTTGCAGTTGTTTGCTACTAAAAAGAACTTTCTTGAAGTAATTCTCTTCTATACAATTTATTCCACCATGTGCTACTATAGTAGTTTTAGTAAACCTATAACCTATAAACTGGTATTTCTTTACTGTTATTTGTATTTGCTGATTTTTGGTAACCTAATGTCTGACCATGGTTTACGTAGTAGTAAAGCAAAGAGCGGACTGGAATCCGGCCCTTGAGAAGTCCCTAGTAGACATTCTCCATTAGTATAAAGATAGTGGCTACAGAGGTGACAACGGATGGACCCCTGAAGGGTGGAATAAAATGGTGAAGGAGTTCCATCTGAGGAACAAGTATGTCAACTACACAAAGAGTCAGATTCAAGACAAAGAAGGACAGCTAAAGAAAGACTATAGGATGCTCAAAGAGGCAAGGAGGCAGAGTGGGGCCACCTGGAATGAAGATAGGCATATGGTCGAAGGATCACCATCTATGTGGGATAACCTTGAAATTGTAAGTTGATTTCTTGAAGTAATTCTATGGATATCCTCATAGTGATAACCTCATATTTGATCAATGGTTCTCTTTGAATGTGTAGACATTCCCTAAAATTAGGAAGTTCCGCAACAGTAAGGCAAGATTTCCACTATTTGATGCTTTGGGAGAGCTTTATGATGGTAGGTTCACTTTCTATAGTTGCAAACAGTGCCAATCAATATATTCTTTCTGCTTCTCACTTTAGTATTTGATGCGCTGCACGATATTTCCCCCCAATTAACTCCTTCTAGTTGTCATAACTATATTGGTTCTCTTTATACTTGAATTTCATGCGGAAAGACCACTTTCTATAGCTATTTCCTTGTTATCGTGTAGGTCATTTGGTGAAGGTTGCATAATCGACTTCTCTTGAGCCACCACAAGAGGAAGCACCACTTCGACAAATTCATGATGTAGATGACTTGGACAACATTGAGGTTCATGAGGTACTAGATGAAGATGATTCAATCAACTGAGATACAAGAGGAAGCAAGTGAGGTTGTAGTTGTTGAAAGAAATGGACAATGAGGTTCTCTGTCATGAGATGAAGAAAATGAGGTCGAGTGGTTGTTGAAAGAAGTAGGCAAAGAAAGAACTACTACTACTACATCAAGCAAAAAACATGAAAAGGAAAAAAGAGACCTAAGAAGGGTGAAAGGATTGAAGAAATGATGGGGAGATACCTAGACATGAGGACTAAGTAAGTACAAGATGAGTCGTAGATCTAGCCAAAGAAAAGGAGGTTGTCAAGGTAATGACTTCTCTATCAAAAGGTGTATATCCGT